GTTGTAGTGCACTGAGACAGGACTGTTGATGAGAACGTATGAGGGTTGGAAATGATTCTTGTCGTTGGAGTAATCATATAGCAGCAGAGGCTGCAGTTCACCACCGTAACACCGTCCGACTGGCTTCATGATCGACCATCAGGGAGGTGAGACTGGAGGAGATCATCGCGGAAAACGGGGTCGAAAGGATGAGGAACGGAAAAGGTCACGTGATCATCACCGACACGCCGGAGCTACGACCTTGTGGACTGCAGAGTCCAGCGACTAGCTGGTGAAAAAAGTAGAACCGCCATGAGCATGACTAGAGACCGTGAAACCCATCGTCAGGGTTATAAAACGGAGAAAGGCGAACGGCAATAATGATTCGACAGAGTAGGGAACGAAACACTGCCGCAAACATCACTCTATAGAGGATAAAATATACATATATGGAAAACAATTTAATATAAATAGAACCACCTCAAATACCAGGGGACCATTTTCAAAGTCCAAAAGTTGTGTGTTTGGAATGAGACCGATAACAAGTACTTTATATCTTCCGAAGTTAAGTGTTTACGTAATTTGGCTTTAAAACTGCTAATTTAGATGACAGCCTAATTTCGAGGGGAATATTATCCCAGAGGAAGGCATATTTGGAGGCAAAAAAGCGAGAATGATTCGACGTGGAGCTAAAGGGAGTGCAATCATCATGGAGAAATGACGAGTGGTATAAGGTCTATCTGGGGGAATGAGAGCGTGATCCGTGGGAGGTTAGGGCTAGAGTTAACGCGAAAAAGGAAGCAGAGGCCCACTTTGAGTATTCTTACCCAAAGAAATGTCATGTTCGCTAACTGACATCTCTCCGTTGCGGTTCTCTATGGTTCCACTAGCTTGTCGGTGGAATTTGCAGTCCGTAAGGTCACGTCTGCGGCATTTCGGTGATGTTCTCGTGGCATCTACTATTCACTTTTCGTTTTGACGCCATTGTCCTATCTCACCTCCATGATGCTAAACGTTTTCTCACATGACAAGGAGCTACCCAAACCCTCAAAATTTCCCATCAAGATCACGATCACATCTCACTCAATCATAGAAATCCAACCGCTGCAACAAAACTTGTGTCCGGACAAGGCTCATTACCCTATGAAACAAATTTAACTAGTCTCGACATATTTCCATTAATTTACAGGCAGGTACGTGGTGATCTGATACAAACATTTCGTATAATGCGCGCTTAGGACCGCTGTCGTCTTCCTGACGACTTCTTCGAGTTAGCAACAATTACAAACTTGAGAAATCATCCATTCAAACTACGTGTGGCAGTGGCCAGACTAGAAACCCGAATGTTCTTTTGTAATTGAGTGGTGGAAGCTTGAAATGATTTGTCCATGGATGTTGTTATGTTCGCTTCCGTTGAAGTCTTTAAGAAGAAGCTGGATTGATATAGTAAAGCTCACTCTAACACCAGTTGACCACTGAAGTCTTACTGCAGGCAAAATAGAAATGTATTCTCATAGTGTTACTTGCTTCGTTTGAGTAATATTTAATTATGAAATAATTACCTGCACCAAATTCATATCATATGCGTGCAGCTCATTGATGTTGATCAACAACCGATAGTTGCGATCGTGGCGGCTTCTCCTGTCTTTGTCGCGTTGATAACGGCCTCGGAAATAAGCAAGGGCGTATCGTTGTCGCAGCTACGGCATCTCGAGGGTCTGGAGACCTCTACGACACCTTCATCTGTGTTCTCATAACTATACGGCCGATACCCATGATAGGCTCCTCTCTACCGCCTTGACGCCTACAACAACATGATGCCTCTATCTCATGTACATTTCCACCAACGAGCGACAGATTTTTCTCCTTAAAATCCCCAAATCGCATTTAAACTTTTTCAGTTTCCGAAAACTGCGCAAGGAGTTTTTTCCACTGTCTGCTCCTTTTTAACTCTGTCCCATCTAAGCGCTCGTGTCATTGGCGTCGCCCATGAGCCGAGATACTATAATTATGCGATTATACTACTCACGCTGAGTGAGAAGTAATATGTATTGACAATTTCCCACTAACTGACGGCTGCTAACTTTTTGCCTGCATTGATGTGAACAATGAATGTTTGAATTTTTCTATTGTGTCGATACATTTTTCAGACACTATAGGGAGCACAAAGGCGTTTGCCTATCTTTCAATAAAACTAAACTGAACTACTTATTTATGACAGTTATTTAATGATATGGTGAATTGCACATATTAATTATTGGTCGTATTGGAACGGCCAGTTTGTGAATCTTAGGCCAAGTATATAGCCTTGGGGTTTGAGCGATTCTAACTCTTGTTCACTAAGGAAACCTCGGTCTTTCAGTTTCCGAAGACAATTTGTGAGATGAAATTCTACATTCTCGCTTTGATCCTTATTTTGTCTTTCCCTTTTGAACTTAGTGTCGTCAGCCAGGATCGATTAAATCTTAAAGACGTAAGCTCTTTTATTCATAGCAGCGATAGAAAGCATCCCCAGGCCAGTCACGCCGTCACGAGACGATGACACCTTGCGTCCTCACGCCTCCCAACAAAACGTGAGACAAGGACTACGGGACGACATGAAATAATTGTCGGACCCCTACCTCTTTGATTCCTTTACGACTTTCCCACTTTCCCTAAATTACTACTGATTGGTTGCTTGAATTTTTTTAACTCTACCGTCCCTTATATGATTGCATTTGCCTGATAATTAATTAACCGAAAACGTTTTTTCGCCTAACTTGACTTCCTAAATATTGTTTGTTTATCGCAAAGGAGTTAAGGCTAAGCCGGTTGAAGCCTAACTACTGCGATCTTCCAGGCCCGGTT